TTTCCAATATTCGTAATTTTTTTCATGTTTCTGCCACAATTTCCGACTGAATGGACACCAGTTTGGCATTTCGGAGTTTATTTCATATATACGTAAAATGGTTATGAAAGTGGACTTGGGGGTACAGTAATGTGGGGCGCAATAGTCCAATAAAAACCTATGTGGAAATTATCTGTATGATGGTTCTCTACCCCAGAGTAGCCTAAATATGTACAATTTTTTAGCCAAATCAACTGATGAATGTGGTCAAGACCAAGTTGGACCCTACTTCGGAAAATGGAAATTTTATGAGAAGAGGTTTTCTACCCCTTTAGTAACAAAGTTGCCAAATAAGGGCAAAAAATGAAAAAAAAATAGCTTAAATCACCTGCTGGTTATACCAAAACGTTCAGTTTTTGCAAGGATGGTTTCTTCTCATATTACCAACATTTGCCGAAATGGCTATGAAAAATATGGATAAAATGTAAAATATACCTGAAATCGGATTGTACCCTTAACCGGGGGTTATGACCAAGATCATGACCTGCAAAAGAGATTTAATGTATCTTAAAAGCTTAGGAAGAAATCCTTTACTTACTAAATGTCCAATTCTCTCTACCATATATTTTTTGAGCCAAAATACAATTAGTATAAGCCTAGAAATTAACATAACTTTCTTTTATGTGGTGAAAATAATTCCTTTTTTACAAAAAAAAAATTGATTATATTCAATAGATAAGCCAAATTGAAAAAAAAAATCGTACAGTATATAAAACTGACAGAAAAGAAAAACAAATTGAAAAAAGAAAAAAACGTCAACTTGTTCTAAGGGGTTTTTAAGCAAATGTTTAAAGGTCCTTACGAAGTTAGTCAATAGAATGTACTATTATTTTGAAATTCGATTATTTTCTTTTATATATAGATAGATATAGATCCATCGAAATGGAAAACATAAGGTAATTTCTTCTTCAGCTTCTTCAAAAACTGTAAACATTTCAAAGAATTGTGTATCTCGTATAATTCGACTTAGGCCCGCAGTTTCGTCCAAATTTTACTCAACTTCATAATTAAGGACACTCTGAAAATGCCGAACGATGTCATGATTGAAGATTATGGTTTCCTATAGTGTTTTAGGAGAGGCACAATCCACACCTTGGCATTACAGACAATTGATTTCAGCAAAGAATTTGGTTATTCGCGCGTGTTTAATTTTTTAATTTATTTAAAAAAAAAAATCAGCCGACGATACATTTGAAAATAGGATATGTGCGTAATGCGGTAGAATTATAAAAAGTTTAGGGTACAAATATGTCGCCTCGAACAACTTCGAAGCTCCATAGATATATTTTCTGTGTAAAGGGTAAGGGACAAGGCGAATATAAATATAAGTATTTATATGCAAATACATATTTATATTTATTCCTTTATCCCCATACTCTTGGCTCAATTTAAGGAAATTTCCAAAATTTATTTATATTCGACCCTTCGGACTTTAGTCCATGGGAGCGGATGCAGCATGAGGCTATGCGTATGTGAGCGCGTCTATACAATATGCACAAATAAATTCATATGTGTATAGTTTCGACATATTGCTAAGAGCAATTTGAATTTAAATATTTTTCTCCCTTTGTGGCCTGTGCGAAAAGTGGAATTTGCTTCTCCTTTTCTTGGAATCATGGTCAAGTGTTGACGTGAAGCACTCCCCCTTTGTAAACTTTCTTTCATAAAAGTGTATGAATTAAAAAAAAAAGAAATTTATCTGTGCGAGTTTGTCAGAAAGTATTTTTATTGGTGGACATGTGATTTCAGAAGATTGGCATAAAAAAGATACAGTAAATAAAAAAAAATTTTCTTAAATATTTGGTTTGTTTGTATCTGTTATACGGATTATGAACCAAGCTAAAATGAAACTGAATTTATTTTCTTACAAAACGAATGGGTTCATAATCCCAAATGCTTATTAAACTTGCTGAAGCCTATTATAAATAAAATGCAATGTTCATCTATCCATTCGATATATATGGCTCCTTATAGTAATCGATTCCTTAAATGTCACGAGTCTTGAACAATGTAACTTTATTGCTACATTTATTATTGAATATCTCATATGGAGATGGAAAATATCTCTTTTCGATTTATCGAATCTATATTGAAAATATGTTGTAGTTTATATCCTTAACCAGAGTCTGCGGACAGTAGTGTGGGCTTGTATGTGGGGCATGAGGGCGAAAAGGATCTTTACGATTGAATTGTTTATGCTAATATTGTAGCACATGTGAATTAAATTTCTTGGACCTTATTAAATGTTTCGTCTTCGAACAACAGCAAAGCCATTCGGCACTCTTAACAAACATTTGAAGGCAATGAATATTTTGTTGGGCCCTTCGTTTTGATATTCAAGTGGTTAAGCATTTGGGTATAATAAAGTTTTTATTTTTCTTCGGGGTTTCTTTTACTCCTGCACAGGATTTCACAATGCGGTTTTAGTATCCGCTAGAAAAATTCATAATTCATAAGGAGCCCATCTGCCGACGTCTCATCATGGAACACAATCTTGAGTTAACCTTTTCGTTTTTGGCAATTTGTGTTCGGCAATTTAATCTACATGCGAAAGGCTTTTGTTAAAAAAGAACAACAGTGAAATGGGTAATAAAGCTCGTCCTTGGGCAGTAGAATCGAATACTTTATATTTGAAACACATTCCTGTTCATTTTTCGCTTTCGCTCGCATTCACAGCAGCGAACGGACTGCCTCCCATCATCATACATTCATATTATGTGGAGGCAATGAATTTTTTATATTTACTGTAAAAATATTGAGTGCAATATACACTGAATGTGTTTATGTATATGTGTGTGTGTGTGGGTAAGTACATTTATTTAGTCGTATCTTTTGGCCGTAGGCAAGAGTATCCGTGTCGGTATAGATGCGACTGATGCCAGGGGAAGACATCAGGACGGTGGTGTTGGTGGTGGAGGTAAAACTGAATAACCCTTTCTTCCTATTTCCGGTTTCCGTTTATGAGGCTGATACAGCAGTATCGGCATTCTTGTGCCGTACAATGTTTCCGCTCCTTGTCGAGGATATTCTTTCAATTTTTTCATATTTCGGATGAAATAGTGGCAATGGTGAGAGGGTAGACATTCATCAAATTTAAGCAAAGGAATTCTTTAGCTTTTTCAAAATACGATACGTGCTCATGGAGAACGATAGATAAAAGAGATGATTGTGATAAATTTCATTTAAATTTTTTTCTTGCCTAACAAATTCAGTTCATCTGACATCAGCACTTTTTATGTTTTCCTATTTCATACGTTCGTATATTATTTATAAAGTTTACAAATAACAATCGTGTGTTGTTAACTTCGCCATTGCCGACGTTCACGGGGATAAGAGATAGGAAGCTACACGACAACGACCAGAAAATACGCTATTATTTCATATGTATACACGAAATGTTCCGAGGACATCGTAAAGAAAACACCAGAGAAATATTTTAGACTCCTTCCCCATCTTTATAATCTGTTGAGAATCACATTTTAAGTCGTGTTATGCAATTTTGTCCTTCTTTTCAGTGAACTATAATACCAAATTTACTACCAAAAAACCATATATGTTCCGAAAGGGCATCTGATTTAAGGTGTAACAAATGTGCGCAACATAATCCGCAATTATGGAAGTCTCTTCAACTAAATATCACGAATAATGTAATGTGCTATAACGACGACTTTTTCGGCGTTCTGTCAGTTTCCTTTCTGGCTTTTATTATATCCTTCCAATTTCCTCAAGCAATAATAGACGAATTTGCAATATAAGATTCAATAATTGAATTTAAACAGGAAGAAATGTTGTGAAAACCTAGCCTCTTTCTTAATATAGATAAATACAATTTCTCGTAACACTGAAAGAAAAAAGACTGCATCAACATGAGACCGATGGGGTTTCTTTGATACTAACGTGATAAAAATACTGTCGAGATTTAAAAACCTAGCCCGGTCTTAGGGATAATTAAAAATAGTTAGAACAGATTTCGCGAAAGATTTTTATTATTTACTAGCTGGCCCGGTCCGCGTTGCCGGCCCGTAGTTTTAGTCTTTAATGCAAAATTTGTATAGCATAATATTTCACAAATCTGGCTCATAAAGGTGAACAAATCTTAACATAAAAACTGATCCGACTAAATAGAAATAAATACCTTTTGAAGAAGGGCAAAATAATTTCTGAACAGTCGAAGTTACTTACGCTTTTACACCCATTACCATAGCACCTCATATTGCGCTTTAGAGTCCCCAAGAAGTCTATGTTCTTGTTCATAGTAAAATTCAATGGCGAATCAACAATGCCCGTGTTGTTGTCCGCCAATCTGTAAAAATCACTATAGATCGGCGGCCCTGGAAACTATATGGGGACTGTACCTAAATATTTACCTATGTTGACATTTTTCTGTAAGATGGTTCTCTACTCACAAAGTAGCCTAAATACAGCAAAATCGATTGGAAAATGTGGCCAAGAACCTCGAAATAGAAAAGCCAAGATGCCAAATAAAGGCCAAATCAGTTGAAAAACGTAGCCAAGACCACGGTCACAGCTGAAATCAGGGATACATTCATATGAGGGTTATACCAAAACGTAGCCCAACCAATATTCTCTTGGGGTTACAAATTTAATAGAATACAAAATTTTCTTTTCTGACCACACATATAATGTGAAAGTGGACTTGGAGATACCCCAATGTGTGGACTTTACTTAAATAAATTCCGATGTGGCAATTATCTGTATGATGGTTCCCTACCCCAGGTAGCATAAATATAATTTTTAGCCAAATCAATTGATGAATGTGGTCAAGACCAAAATGGGCCCTACTCTGAAAATTTAAAATTTTATGCGAAGATGTTCTTTACCCCCATAGAAACAAAGATGCCAAATAAGGGCCAAAAAAATGTAAAAAAGTGGCCAAGACCCCAAAAATAGCTTAAATCATACGATGGTTATATAAATATGAAATCGGGTTGTTGCTGACTGCGGCTAGAAGGGCAGGAGGCTTGCGTTAAACGGACAATAAAACACGTTTATATTGTTGCTGCGTTTATTTCTACGAAAACATAACTGTTAATTTACCAAAAAATACAAATATAAATGACGGACACTTACCGCAGTTTTGCGCCTCCTTCTTCAACGAATATCAAATTTAAAATGAGCTAATTGCGCTCAGCAACGATAAGCACAAATATGCAAAGAAAGAGGAATCAGCAAACTGCGGTAATTCAATACAAAGTGACAATGCAAATAATAATCGATAGAATCAAAATAACAATTATCGATAACATCAAATAATAGGCCTGATCTACAACACCCCCACCCCCGTGGAGCGATCAGCTTCACTAATTTCTATGTCCAAAACAGCTAACTTGGATACCGGACGTTGCAGTACTCCGGACGAAGTCTTCACATCAGCTCTTCTTGGCACACCATCCGTACCCGTGTAGACACAAGTGACCAAACCTCTCCGCCATTGACTCCTTGGAACATTTGGGTCGCAGATGAAAACCACATTTCCAGCACTGATTGGTTGAGTATATTCACACCACTTAACTCTCCTGGTGAGAGTGGGTAAGTATTCTGCAATCCACCGCTTCCAAAATCTATCTCGAAGACACCTCAGAACTCTCCATTGTTTTTTCAGGGAAAAAAGCTTCCCGTCGGGTTCATTCACTGGCGGGGTAGGTGCAACATTTCCCGAGCCAATTAAAAAATGGTTAGGAGTAAGTGGTTCCTCCTCATCAGGACTTATTGGCAAGTGAGTTAGTGGGCGGGAATTCACTATATTCTCTGCTTCGATTAAAAGAGACTGTAGTACATGTTCTCGAGGTGAGATTTCTTTCAGTGTATGCCGCAAAACTTTTTTCACACACTGTACCATTCTTTCCCAAGCGCCACCTTCCGAAGGATTAGCCGGACAATTAAAAATCCATTCAATTCCTCTCTTGGATAACTCACTCTGGATTCTATTAGCATCAAAGGCTTCGGTGAATCTTTTAGACTCCTCGTTGGCCCCAATAAAATTTGTCCCGTTATCGGAACGAATCCTGGTTGGAACACCTCTACGATTAATGAAATTCCTTATGGCAATGATACACGAATCCGTTGACAAGTCATGCGCTAATTCCAGATGTATAGCACGTATTGTTAAGCATGTAAACAATGCTACCCACCTTTTCTCGGATCTCCTTCCAATTGTTACAGTAATTGGTCCAAAATAATCAAGTCCTGTATATTTGAACGGCGGAATATTAGGATCAAGGCGGTCTAATGGCAGCTGCCCCATGATGGGCAATCGTGGTAAACATTTTCTAGATCGGCATAAAAAACACTCGGCAACTACTGTCTTCAACAAAGAACGTACTTGTGGTATCCAATACTTTTTTCGAATTTCACACACCGTAGCCTCGTGATTTTGGTGCATCATCTGGCGATGATGATGCATGACTAAAAGTTTCGTAAACTGATGATTTTTAGGCAATATTATTGGCCTTTTCACGTTGTATGATAGGTAGCTGGCAGCATCTATTCTTCCATATACTCTTAAAAGACCATTACCATCAATATAGGGAGATAAACTAATCAAACTACTGTTCTTTGAAACTGGCTGCCCTTTTTCAATGCAACTTAACTCGGCAGAAAACCTTTCTCTTTGTACTAGGCGGCATAATATTTCTTCGGCGCAATTTAATTCACGGGACGTGAGACCATACTGTTCCGAATCGTCAAAAATATTTCGGCATCTTTTCACAAAACGAATAATCCAACAAGTCGACCTTATTATTCTTGTAAATGACGAAAACCGGTTAAAATCAATAAAATCATTCTCAACAATCAATAATGATGTTTTCGGATGATTTTCCTCAATATCATTAGCACAGGTGGTGTCAATTACTCTAGTAGGCCAGTCATGTTCAGTCATTCTCAAGAAAGCAGGACCTCTTAACCATCGGGACGACATGGAAAAGTCAATATTGTTGAATGACCTGGTGCCTTCATCGGCTACATTTTCACTTGTTGGAACCCATCTCCAATTCTCTATTTTTGTTGATGACAATATTTCAGAAATTCGATGGGCGACGTACTGTTTATATTGTCTGTGGCTGCTGGCTATCCATCGTAACACTGTTGTGGAGTCACTCCACAAAACAATCTTTTCTGGGGTCAAAATATGAGATGACATAATAGTCTGCATTAATCTAGTTCCCAAAACGGCAGCTTGTAGCTCCAGACGCGGAATCGTAACTTTTTTCAGAGGTGCACATTTAATTTTAGAAGTGATGAAGCTGGTATCAGTGTACTCATTCGAAATGTACCTCCAATATGCCACTGCAGCAAAGGCATCCTCACTGGCATCAACAAAGATATGAAGCTGTAGTGATGTTGGCAAACCTGTTTGAAAATAATGTCTAGGGACGCTAAATTTGGCAACATTTTTCATCTGACCTCTCCACCTTTCCCATATGGCATGTAAATCGTCAGGAATAATATCATCCCATCGACAATCGTGTTTCCAAATCTGTCGCATTAATAATTTTCCACCCACTGTAAAGTGGCCCAAAAGTCCAAGGGGGTCAAATATAGACATTATAATGCTTAAAAGTTTCCTTTTTGTTGGTTTCAGTTCTCCAGAAATTATGGATGAATCGACTCGATTGAATTTTAAGTTGAACATAAACGTATCACTAGAAGGCTCCCAATATAATCCTAAGACCTTCTCTGCTCCGTTATTAATCGGCATTGCTTTCAAACTACCATCAAGTGTCTGGGAGACATCCTTCGAGTTTGATATGAAGTTCCTCAATTCAAATCCGCCATTTTTGTGAATTTCTTTCACTTGTTTAGAAATAATGATAGCTTCATCTACACTTTCAAAGCTATCTACAAAATCATCAACATAATGGTTCTCGCTAATGGCTTCAATCGCTCTTGGATTATAGTGCAAATGTTCTTTAGCATTTGCTTTCATGACAAAAATGGCTGAGCATGGTGAGCAGGCTGCACCGAAGATCATGACCTGCATCTCGTATACACCCGGTGGCTCTTTCTGATTTCCATCCCTCCATAGGAATCGCTGGGAAACTCTATCACTCGGCTGAATTTTAACTTGGTGAAACATTTCACATATATCGGCACCAACTGCTATTTTGCCTCGGCGGAAATTATACAGTATAGTCAACAAGGAAGCTATATTTTGAGGTCCTTTTAACAGCATAGAATTCAGCGAAATATTGTTTACCTTGGCGGCTGCATCAAAAACGAGTCTTAACTTTTCAGGTTTGTTCGGGTTGACTACCCCGAAATGCGGCAAATACCATTTTCTTTCACTAGAAATTCGTACCTCGTCTGATTGTAGTTTCCGAACATATCCTTTCTCTATGTATTTATCTATAATTTCCCTGTAGGCCGCAGAGAACTTGGGATCTCGTTTCATCTTCCTTTCAATTCCTTCCAGACGACTAAGTGCCATCGGGTAACTATCTGGGAGACGAATCTCACCTTGTTTCCACAACAGCCCAGTTTGAAATCGATCTCCAATTCGTTGAGTGGTTTCTTCAAGAATTCTCTTGGCTCTAACATCATCATCGCTTTCAACTAAAGGAGCAGATCTAACTCCCATACCTTCCACATTAAAATAATCAGCTACTATTTGATGTAATTCGTCTTTGTTTTCCACCGAAATAAACAAAGATGACTTCTGAATTGAGGATAAAGAGTGACATGGCCCGAAAACAACCCATCCCAATTCCGTATTACATGCAAATGGTCCAAATTCATTATTTATTTTACAATTCGATGGCAACCCTAGAGACGCGTGGTCCAATCCAATCAAAAGCTTTGGCACTACATTGGAGTAGGGTTTCACGGGAGGAAATTTACAGTTCTTAAAGGCTGATAAAATTTCATCTTGACTCAAGGACTGCATCGGAAGGTTGAGATTAGATACTGCATACACATTTTTTAGTAGATGGCAACCCTTTTTACCAGATCCACTCACTTTTATGTTGAAGGATGTCACGGGCTCTCTGGCTGATCGGCCTCCGAACCATTGAACATTGAGCGAAGTATTCTTTCCTCTTATCCCTATTTTTTCGGCAATATCGCTGTCCATCATGGTGATGGATGATCCATCATCAAAGAGGGCGTAGACTTCCATTGAACAATTGTTCCCGTACAATGTTACAGGCAGAACCCTAAAAAGAAGTTTCTTCTTATCTTCGGAATTGCAACTGAGAACATTTTGTTGAGATTTAGGATCAGGATTCGCCAAAGTTGGTGGTGGAACACAGGGGGTGGTGCACTCATGAAGTAATTTATGATGCCTTCGCTCGCATCCTTCCTCAGGGCATACTCGTCTACGTCGACAGTCTCGGGTTATATGTCCAGTGTGCAAACAGGAAAAACAGGCACGATTTTTTTTAACTTGTTTCCATCTATCTGGAACATTCAGGTTTAAAAACCGGCGGCAATCATAAATCCTATGTTGGCCCTGGCACATAGGGCATTGTATTTGTTGTCCGGTGGAATGCAATAAAACACGGCGCTTTTGGTCTTTATATTCCACATCCTGCACTATGCATATTAAATTAGCAATCTCGCAAAGCCAATCGCTGAAATGTATTATTGTAGGATATGGTTGAATTTGAGTGGCTACCCTGGCCCATTCTAATTTCTTACTCATTGGAAGCTTCGACACCAACTCCTCCAGAAGTGTAGGGTTAGCAATGTGATTTTGTCCATTCACGGATTGCAGGAAAACAGCTAAATTTTTAACTTTTGTTGAAAATGGCACTAACTTCCCTAAGTTATTTTCCGAAATCTGAGGCAATTCCCTGGCTTGGCGTAACTGACTATGTATGAGCTGCTCCGGTCTACCAAATCTAAAACAGAGTTGTTTAATTATGTCGTCGACGTTGTCAGGATGAATAAGCAGTGATTTGACGACTTCTCTGGCTTCACCTTTGAGCTACTTGTGCAAACGTTGATTATTTTCCAAATTCGTGTAACCATATGCTGCAGTTGACTGGTTGAAAGCTGTATAAAATAATGGCCAGTCGTCTGGATCACCACTGAATTCTGGCAAATCTTGAATTTTTCTTGGCATTGTGATCGCAGGTATGCTTGGATTTGGAAAAGTATCAAAGTGTTGAAAATTTTGCAATGGCTCCCATAATGGCATTGAACAGGTCGTAGCAGCGCTGGCATTACTGCTGGCTGCAGTTGGTGCTGATTGTAGTAGTGGCATCGCGGCAGAGGATGCGCTCGCCACTGTCGCTGCAGTTAAGTTTCCAATTGCTGAGGCAGCGTACGTCGACGGCATAACGGCTCTGGTGCTTGCTACAGGCTGAAACATGGCGGCGGTTGTATATGTGTGTGTGGTTGGGCAATTGGTATAGCGGGACCCAAATGCTGTTGGCGGCATGGCGGCTCTGGTGTCAATGGCGATTGCAAATGGCGTTTGCGAGGTTGAAACTGATGTGAGGTTATGGTCACTTACCTGGGATGATACGTTTCGGAGTGCATTTTGGAGTTCATGGCATTGGCGGTTGCTGTTGGTCAGCTTCTTTTGTGTTTCCGATAGCTGGCTTTTCAATAGGTTGACTTGTCTTTGCGTCTCTGATGGACTGGCAGGACTTGTAGTCGACATCGGCACTGACATCTTCTGTCCGATAGTTTGCTGTTGGTGGCCACTTACTGTAGTGGCTGGATTTCCATTTAATTCCATGGAGGAAATAGGTGCTGGCTGCACAACACGTGAGGTTATAGGCTGTTCCCCACTTTTAATATTACCTCCGGCAGTTTGTGTGGTTGTTTTGTTTGTGACACTAATTAGCATTGACTCTGGCTGAGTCTGATCAGGATGATCATCTGTTACAGCATCTGCATTTATATTTCCTTGCAGACGAGGACTCCGGCGTGGTGGAGTATGCTGTAACATTTTCCAAAAGGTTGCTTATTTTGTGTCCACCAACAATTACCACGGCAACAAACTCAGTTCTTTGTATGAAAATACAAAAAACTGCAACATACAATAACAGCAAAATGCGAAATAAAAAAATGTTGCTGACTGCGGCTAGAAGGGCAGGAGGCTTGCGTTAAACGGACAATAAAACACGTTTATATTGTTGCTGCGTTTATTTCTACGAAAACATAACTGTTAATTTACCAAAAAATACAAATATAAATGACGGACACTTACCGCAGTTTTGCGCCTCCTTCTTCAACGAATATCAAATTTAAAATGAGCTAATTGCGCTCAGCAACGATAAGCACAAATATGCAAAGAAAGAGGAATCAGCAAACTGCGGTAATTCAATACAAAGTGACAATGCAAATAATAATCGATAGAATCAAAATAACAATTATCGATAACATCAAATAATAGGCCTGATCTACAACACGGGTTGTACCCTTATCCGTGAGTTATGATCGATATCATGACCTGCAAAAGCGATTTAAGGTATCTTGAATGTTTGGGAAGAATTTCTAGAAGGATAGAAATCCTTTTCTTACTAAAAGTCCCATTCGCTCTACTATATTGCACACTTTAAATTTTGTATTTTACTGATTGTATTCCCTAAGAATTTTGCATTTTGAGCTCTCATTGGACGGATTATTGTCACATGAAAGAAGTAGGTCCACGCTTTTAAATGAGCCCCATTAGACTTTTTCGGTCATTTTTGTTTGTTTGAATGTGTACGCATCTTCCATCGCTGAACCACGATGGTGGCCCTGGAGTTGAAAGGTAAATGTCAGTTAACATCCTATTTCGCACTTCTTTCATTTTTTTTTTTTTTTTTTTTTTGGTGAAAAATTGAATATAGTTCAAATTTATTCTTTATTTTGTTCACAAAAAATTCACTGAATTCAATATGATAATACAAGTTGAAAAAAATTGACAGAGGAAGAATAACAAATTGAAAAAATCTTCAACTTGTTTGCTGATTTTTTACAGCAAATGTTTAAAGATCCTGACAAAGTTTGTTAATAGAATGTACTATTATTTTAAAATTCGATTCCATTGAATTTTTTTTTCGATTTTTTCCCGATTTGAGAATGCAATGAAATATCTTCTTCGTGATTTTTTAGCGATTTTGAAAAAGTAATTATCTTTTAACTTTGGTGTGACAGCGTTAAATTATTTCGATATCATCTATTCCGTTTCGCTACCACAAAATTCGGTACTACACTTCCATGTAACCCGCTTTCAATTTCAGTTCTCAAAAAATAAAGTCAATTAAATAAATTGGTATTAATATTCGAATTCAAAAATAAAATATTAAAAACACTACAAATGTACATTAGAAAAACGAAAGTCAAAATGGAAAAAAATCATGCAAAATAAAACATTAATATTGTACATTTCAAAAGTAAAAATGAAAAAATAATATCCGCGATTTTTTGGATATTATTCTTTTTGGACAGGAGACAATTCCGAATTTGTATGAATCGTTAAAATCAGTTCAGCGGTTCTTAAGTTATAAGCGTAGTAACTAACACAACTTTCTTTTATATATATAGATGTATTATTTATTTATTTATTATTATTATTATTATTTTTTTTTTATAAATATCCAAGAAGAATTCTTTGCTGCAACGGTGCTCTATAACTAACCATCCATCGAACTGGGTTTCCAGATGAATTTTGCAAAAACTTCGGTATAAATCTTATCAATCTACAGCATTAGAAAGACTTTCTCACGAAATAATGAAACAAGCCAAGTACAAACAAAAATAAATAAACGTGTAGATATACAGGGTGAAATAAAAAAGCAACAAAGTCAAACACCATAATTTTTACGTTTTTTTTTTTTAATTTTATTCAATGAAAGCAAAAAATGTCGGAAATAACATCACATTTTAGAATAAGTTTAGATTTGTTCGAGTTGGTCACCTTTGGCACGAATTATGGCCTTCAAGCGGCCAATGAAACCGTCACACGCTGCCCGAATATTGCTCTGCGATTTTTTGACCCATTTCCGGCGAAGCGCTTGCTTGAGGTGATCGACACTTTGGTATTTCTTAGTGCCAACCTTGCTTTCCAAAATAGTCTAACGGATTGGAATCCGGAGATTTTGGTGGCCATTGTGCGCTGGAAATAAAGAGAGGAACTCTTCTTGGGTGGCGCGTACTCAGTGCGATCCTGCTGAGTCCTGTTGGAATGTCCAAGGTCTGCGCCCAAAATGTTTGCGTGCCCAAGGCTTTAACACACCCTCCAGAATATTTTCGGAATTTATTCTGATGCTACGGTCGATTAATACGAGCGGAGAGTGACCGATGGCGGCCCACACCATTACCATGGCCGGCGCTTGAGTTCTGGTGGCCAACCGAAGGTGCACATCTTCAGCTGACCTCTTTGGCAAGTAAACACGAGCATTTTGTTTGTTTACAAACTGCTGGACAACGAATGTTTTCTCATCGGAGAAAACCAAATTCGGCAGTTCACCACTTTCGGCCAAGCGAATCAACTTTTTATCTCTTTTGAGTCTATATTCTTCCTGTGACGGTGTAATTTCTAGCACTTTTTGGAATTTCAATGACCTTACACCGAGCACATTTTTCAATATTTGTCGAATGGAATATTGCGATATGTTCAGCTCACGAGCCATTTTTCGGCCACTACGACTCGGGTTTCGATCAAGTCGCTTCTTTACTTTTCGAACCATTTCTGCTGATGTTGCTGTTTTATTTCATCCACTTCCTTGACGTCGTTCTACGTTGAGACACAAACGAATTATTCACATTTAAATGCTGGAGTGCTCTAACGATAGCCACTTGTGGTTTTCCAGCCAAATATAAAGAAATCACACACACAGAAATCACATTACATTTCCTCAGAACGTACCTGCAGGCGTCCATCCAAAGATCTTGGTAAAGTCACGCACTTATATGGCTGCCCTGGACACGATAGAGCTCTTTCTAATTCCTCTATGGCTCCCGGACGCTTTTTTAGTTTTTTAACCAAACTGTCTACAGCTTTTTCGGCCCATTTTTCTTCTTCGTCTCCTTGTTTCCAACCTAACAATTTTTTCACTGCCGGCGAAGTAAACGTGAATAATGCTCCAATTTTGGACATTGCACTGCTGGAAGTAGATTCAACATAGTCGGTATCCATCCTGGATAATGTGCTGTTTATCCGAAAATCTTTATAGTTTGCTGAAGTTGAATAATCTGAAATGAAGGAGAGACATGTTTATGGCATTAAATAATAGACCTTTAGCCAATTAATAATTCCCTGATACCTCACTACGATTAATAAATTTCATTTTTAAATACACGTTTCAAAACATAAAAATTCACAATATGGCAAGATCGGAAGAGTTTTACACATTGAGTCATTTACAGAGGTACGGGGGAGCCGTTTAATAAAGACTACATGAAAGCGAGGACCCATATAGACAATTTCTTCTCCTATATAATAGAATATGGATCCATATTGACTTTATTTAAGGCCTACTGGCAAACTACGTGTTACCCTACTACCTAAATTCGTTTCTAGGTGTCGAATCTATCTTTATGACGACCTACTGAGAGTTCATACTATGGTGGTGGTTTATAAAATAATATGTGAAGATATTCATAATAATTTTACCATTTTATAATAAATTCCTCTAAACTTAAAAAGCTACATAATATTAAAAAATAAAATAAAAAATAGATATTAAATGAACAAGTCAGTCGGTTTTGTCCACAAATGGATACCCTCAGCCAATGTTAGATAATTAAAATAGAGTTCTGTTATGATAATTCAAATTGTAGAGCCTCTATGGAGTAGGTTACGAAGACATGAGTCAATATTGCTCATTTCGTATCGGACCTAAATAAATATGATATAAATATTGCGACGTGCCATGTTTGGACTATATTGGTTACTTTCTTCACTTTATATGAGATATGTGATAATTTTTAGTAAATGTTAAAAGGAGTGGACCAATATATTCCACCTTTGTACCAGACCTTGGGTTAATAAAAATATTGTATGTGTGTAAGTCGAAGACAATCGGACTCTTACCTCACATTTTATGAGAGTTATAATTATTCATAATTGTTGGCCCTTTGGGGCAGGTTGTACTTGATGACGTGAACCAATATTGCTCATTTTCCCACCTGACCTAGCACTGATGCAAATATTACGATTTGCAAAGTTGGAGCAAAATCGTTTATCTTCCTGTGCCGTAAAATATTTTTTTTTGTAAATTTTGACCTTTTGTGTGGATACCTCGATCTTATATTTGATAAGTTTGAACCAAATCGGATACTCCCTTCGAGAGTTATCGTGCATACCAGCCAGACGATTAACTTTTTTTCTAGAAAATTCTCACCTAAACAATATAATGAGCTCTCACTAGAATAATTTTTAGAGCTGTTGGACGAGTGGCTTAGAAATGACAGCAGTCTGAAGTTGGTTGCAGTGTTTTCATGTCACCCTGTATATACTCAAACACTGATAGATTCTTCTTCGCTTGAAATGCCTAAGATATTCGCGTAATTTCTGAAAATAACATAGCACCAGCAAAAGTTAG